GCGGGAAGGACCATGTCCCCCACAGGTACCCTGCCCCTGAGGAGCCAGCCTGAGTGCTTCTCAGAAGCGTGGGAGAAGCCTGTGCAGGCATGGGGTTCACATCTTTTGATCTGAACTGTTCCCTGGAGGATTTTCATCCCAGTTGTCCTGGCAGCCCATTTCCTCCCTTCCCCGGTTACATCCTGGTTCCCATCACAGGGAACGTCACTCCTGGCCCTTCTCCCTGGCATTGCAGGAGAGCCTAGCCACGTGGCTCCCTTCTAGAGGGAATTCCGGCTCAGCAAAGGAAAGCTCTCACGCCCATCGGACAGGGTTTCCAGAGGGCTTCTGTGATCCGTTCTGCTGAGAGGAACAGCCAGCCGTGCCCCGCTTTCAGCCAGCTAGTTGGGAGCTTTGAGGCTGAAGAATTGAGCAGGATGCAGAGAGCCCCCTCGAGCTGTCTCTGTGGAAGCAGCCCATACTGCCTGGCTTTGGGCGACCAGGGCTGGGTGTGGAGCCTCCCTCCTCGGTCCTCTGTGGAGACTGCTGGAGGATGAGGGAATGCGCCAGGCCATCTAGTTTACCCTGTGGTTTACCTGGAGAGGGGCTCAGAGAAGTCAAAGGTGTCCACTGAGGCCACACAGCAAGCCGGTGCTGAAGGAGAGTTAGCTCCCGCAGCTGCAAGCCCCAGGAGGAGTGCTAGCCTGCCCACGCACCTCGCCAGTGACCCGCCCAGTCGACCTGTGACACCAGCTCAGATGTTTCGGGAGATGCGAAGATGGCCGGTACAGACTCCCTGTCCCCTTCTCCCTGATCGCTGTCCCCAGAAATTTCTAGAGCCGGGCATGGGACACACTTTCTCACTCCGAATCAACCAAGGGGTTGATTCCTGAAGCAGAGCAGGAGCGGGGGGTGGGGGGCACCCGCGCCGGGCGCTTCTGTTTCTGGAGGGGCCGAGGAGAGGCCCACAGAGCTGAGCAGGCAGGAGGCCGCCTGCTCCACCCCACGCCAAGCTAGGCCCTTGTGCTGCCCCCCACCTCAGGCACCTGCCAGCCTCATCCTCCTCAGGCAGTGACCTCCCTGGAGGCTGACAGCCCTGCCTTGTGCACCATCCTCCCGACTGAACCAGCCCCAGTTAGAAAGCTCACAGTGTTGGGTCAGGGCAGTTCTGCTTTGGGACTCCGGGGGACCAGGGAGGTAGGGGACCAGCCCCTCCTCATTGACACAGGCCTGCTTCTCCTAAGGTCACTTTGCTTGTCCCAGCAGTGTCCCCAGGGTTGAGAACTGAGAAGCTCGCCCCACCAAGCCAGGTTCTGAGCCTGGGAGGATGAGCATCCCAGGTGGGGTCCCCGCTCACAGCACCCCACAGAGGCATCTCAGTGACTTTTCTAGGCACGAGTGCGAGAATTGACTAGAACACCCAGGGGTCTCCTGCTCTGTGAAAAGGCAGCATCGTGCCCCCAGCCATCCCTCCTGGCATGTCCTCATGTGTCACCTCCTAGCTTGAGTCCTCGGCACAGCTGGAAATCTGGGGCTCGGCCACCAGCTTCCTGCACGCCTACTCGAACAGTCCTCCCTTGCACAGACCACCCTGGAGGTGGGGGCTGATCCCGCCATGCAGGGCCGATCTGGACCCCTTCAACGTCTCCTCTCCTTTCTTACAGCTCACCCTGCAAAGCGCCAAGTCCCGAGTGGCCTTCTTTGAAGAGCTCTAACAGGTACCCAGCCACCCAAGACCTGCCACTTCTGCTGCCCTCAGCACCAGTGGGCTGGGCCGGACGCCGTGGGAACCATTCGCGCAGGGTTGGCTGGGGGCTTCCTCAGAAGCTGCGGAACGTTCCGCAGCTGAGCAGAGAGCCTGCGCCCCTTCATGTGCAATTGCCTTGAACTATGACCCTGGAGAGATCTCTCTCGTGGTGTTCTAGTTCTGACCCGAGTCTCTACTTTTTTTTAAGGAGTGTTTGTCTTTCCTGTCCATCGTGGCCCCATGCTCCCTTGGCCCTGGACTGGGAATGTGTGTCTCTCTCCAGCACTGACTGCCACAGCCCAGTCTGGAGCGTATTTTAGGGTGTGGAGTACAGAGCCCCCTAGAGCCTGGGAGGCTGGAGCACCACCCCCCACCCTGCCAGGGTTCCAGAACTTTCTTCCCCTCCACAGTGAGGACCTGGCAGTAGAGAAGCACAGCCCAGTTGAGCCTAGGTCCAGAGCAGCCCACTGCCCATCGGCAGTGAGCTTGCCCACAGCTTAAGACAGGCAAAGTGCCGAGTCCTCGGCCAGGCCCCCGGGTAGTTCTGGCTGTCACTGGTGGGGCGTAGGCAGAGCAACTGGAGCTGGGGATAGCGTTTAGGCCAAAGCTGTGAGGAAGGGCCAGCTGCCAGCGAGGGGCTGGCAGGCACATCGAGCCACGCGGGGATCGGACGGTACATGGCACTCGCTGTCCCATCCGCCACCCCAGAGCAGGGTCTGAGGCAGGCAGCCTTGCAGCTTTCCGGTGCCCCTCAGCCTTGGCCTCTCCCACCTGTGCTGGGCAGGGGGGCTCCGAGGCCCGCCTGAGGCCCCACAAGGTACTTTTTGCTGGCCCCAGCCCAACTAATCAAGTCACCTGTCACCCTGACAACATGCCAGCAAGGCCTTCCCTATCTTCTCCCACCAGGGCGTCCCGTTGCTCTGTTCCCCTAAGAGCCACAGGCCCGTGGGAGCCTTCGTGCTCCCACCCCAGCACAAGCCTGCTGCAGGTGCCTGCCCACAGGCTGGCCCATGGCTCACCTCCTCACCAGGCGGCAGTCGGTCACGAAACCAGCCTCCGTGGCTCACTCACTCCTTGATCTGGGGCCTCCTTCCTGCCCTTTCTTTTTCTGCTGCTGAGTTCAGCTGGGGCCCTTCAGAGCTTTCCAGATAGGCCCTTAGGCAGAGCAGGTGGTTCGCCTTAAGCAGAGAAAAGACACTATTAACTGAAGAGTGGGGACCCGGAGTTGTCTGAGAGCGGAAGTGGCCTCTGTTCTTTTCTAACCAAATTCGGTTGGTTTCGAGAAACAGAAGCTCATGGAGATCCTCCTTTCCACTGTCAGGCCAACTTAACTACCCTGGGCTGGTGCCACCTTCTCAGGCCTCCCTGCCCCAAGGAAGCCAGCCTCGCAAGTCACTCCAGCGCCTTAGGGTATGCGGGGTAGGACCCCATATCCGTAACCTAAATGTGGATGGCTATGGCTAAAAAATGTCCTGCGTCTTCCTTGGCTTTGGAGCTGAAGCCTCAGGCTTTTGTGAAGGAAGGTGTGTCTATCTTCTCCTGCAAACCTAGCCCTTGATTTCCACCCAGAGCTATTTTCCCCCAGGCCTGTAAATTTAATCTTTAACAGTGGCCATGCAGCACAGGAACACGAAGGTGGTTTATAAAAAACGATGTCAGGCTTTGTTTTCATATTATTTAACTGCTGTGTGTACTCCTGAAATCTGGGAAATGCCAAGCCATGCAGTCACAAGGGATCTGCCTAGTGGCTGAGCTGTGGCGGGAGCACCTGGGGCCCATGGAGCAGCCTCAGCGGGGCGGTGAGATCATGCTCAGCCAGGGCATTCACCCTCCTTGGAGGCCAGAGCTAGTGGGCCCCTTTTGGGAGATGGAAAGGCCTCTGAAAGGTCTGGAACCCCTGGAGGAGACTCGCGCCTATGGCCAAGGTGACTGTTCCTTTTAAGTGAACATCCTTTAGGGCAAGGGAGCGCGTCCAGTCAGGATGTGTCTTGACTTGACAAGCCGGGCCCTGGCCTTGCTTATCTCAGGAGCGTTTCTGGTGGCTCTGGTGGTCGAAGCACCATGATGCCAGAACCGTTCACGAAGTCACTGCCCAGCTCGTGATCCTCCATGAGGCTGCACCACTGGCTCCTTGCTGTCCGGGCAGAGACCACCATGTTCATCCTGATCGAGGCCCCACCTCAGTCACAGTGGCGCTGTGACCTGTGGTATCTGCTCAATTATTCATGTCCCCGCCAGGCCCTGCCAGACAATGCCCCGTGGCATTACATAACACTTCTTGAGTGACTGTGTTTTGTAATCGTGGGGACAGGTTTCTCTCTCTCCCTTTCTTTTCTCTTTCACAAGTCCAGAGGCTGACAACCAGCTGCGGTGACTAAGTGTTCCTTGCTGACAGGGCTGGGACCTTGCAGCCCCTGCAGGGAGCAGCCATGGAGGGAGACAGCTTCCCTCGCCCAGTTGCCCTGGGGCCAAATCCGCCCCTCCTGGGCTTCCAGGGAAGCTCCATCCTTTTTCAGAGATGTCAGACAGCAGCAGCGCTTCTTCCCGTGGGGCTGAGTCTCCTGTCAGGCCCAGACTTGGAAGGCTACTTTCTCTTCTGGGGGATTGTTGTAATTTAAGTGGTTGTTTTAATAAAAACTCTGAGCTGTACAAAGTCTGTCTTGGGCTCCTTCAGTCTGCTAGTTGCTCAAGCCATTGAGGTGGCAAGATGGGCTGGGTGTGTGGGGGGGTGCCCTAGTGATTCTGCCAGCAAACGCCCACCCTGACTGCCCAGGACCTCGACTCCAGCCTGTCTTTGGTGGGAAAGGATCACCTCCTTCCTAAGGATACCTGCACTTGGGAACTCCCTCCCTCCCCTTGTGGGGCCCATGGGGTAGCATAAGGACCCTGCCCGGACAACCAGGCATGCCTCTATTTCTTCAATCCCTGCATATCCTGATTCCAGACTTGAGAACTGGGGCACTGGCCTGGCTGATCCCTCTGGGTGCCTCTGCTTCCTGAGTTCTGGGTGCTGTCTGCAGAGCAAATGAGGTGTAGCAGCTCTTGCAGGGAACCTCCACTGCAGAGTTCTTTCTCTTTTTTTTTTTTTTTTTTTTTGTCTTTTTTATTTTTAAATAAATAAAAGTCCTTTTTAAAAAAATTATGATTTCTGCTTTACATATGTTTGATGTATATGTGTGGAGTAGATTTTTTTTTCCTTTTTAGACAGATTTTTTGCTATAGGGTATGTGTGTTCGCCGGAGAGACAGAGATAGAGAGTAAAAAATCACCTCCTGGGGGGATGGCCATGCCACAATCCCTTCTCCATTCTCCTCTCCTGGCTCTTGGGCACGCATGCACATGTGCCCGCCATGAGTTTCAAGCCACCCCTGCCCATGGCCCCCCCCATGAGTTTCAAGCCACTGGGTCAGGGACTTGAACCATGGTGGGCCATTTGGGAGCCCAGCACCTTAACCACTATGCTACCTACTGGTCCCAGAATGGTTCATTTAGTTTTGTTTTAAGAAGTTTTTGCTTTAGGGCACAAAACAGACATAGTGAGAGGGCAAATGATAAGTCATCCCGCAGGGGAGAGTGCAAGTCCGGTGGTGTGACCACTATGCCATATGCTGACCCCCCAGAGTTTTTTAAAGCATACACGCAGTATGTGATCAAGAATATATGCATATCTTCTTCCACGTTGAACATTACATTATGTTGTGCACATTTGATCGTAGTTTTTTGTTTCGTTATGTTTTAATTTTGCCATAGGGTGTGTGTACTTGCAGAAAAAGAGAAAAAGAAGATAAAAGAAATCCCCCAGCAGCTTTGGCCATGCCATAATTTCTTCTCCATTTTCCTCTTGGAATTTTGGGCATGCCCACATACATACCCAGGGTATTTTTCAAGCTGGCAGGTCTAGAACTTGCACTGCAAATGTGACTATTTGGGATTCAGCTGTCTTAACCACACCACCTGGCTGGCCTGCTAATAGATTTTTTTATATGTATTAAATTGTCCATATTGTCCCATAAAGCAAAAGTTCTCTCTCTTTTTTTTTTTTTTAATTTTTTAAATTGTCAGTGTGCAAGAGACAGGGAGAGAGGGGGGAAAGCACCCCACAATGGTCATGCCATGGTCCCTTCTCCTCAGTTTCTCCATCCCGTTGGTATTTTGGGCACAGACACACACACATGTGCCTGGTGTGATTTTTTTTTAAACTGCTGGGGCTGGGACTTGAACCATGGCTGGTTATGTGGGATCCAGCTTCCCCTACCACTATACCATGGAGCCAGTCCAAACAAAAGTTCTTTATTAAGACCAAAACTACCATAGGAGGGCCCACCTGTGTTAAGGGGATTAGGGTGGGGATCCCACATGGCCAACCTTATGATTCAGGTTCCAGACCTGGCAGCAAAAATATGCCAAGCATTTGTGCATACATGCCCAAAATCCCAAGGGAAGGAGAGATGGAAGAAAAGGGATTGCAGCATGACCATTCCCCATGAGGGATGCTTTCTCCTCTCTCTCTCTCTCTGTGCCATCCAGTGTGTGCATGCACCCTCTCACAATTTTTTAAAATTATTTATTTAATTTTATTTATTCATTTATTTATTTTAATTTGACCAGAGTGACACAGAGAGAGAGAGAGAGGGAAAGTGAGGAAGTAAGCCACCAGGTCTAGGACTTGAACCGTGGTTGGCCATGTGGGAATGTCCGGCACCTTAACCACCACACCATCTGCTGGCCCCCACTCATAAGAATGTTAAAGCAAACAAACCTACCATAGGATAACCGTCCTAAATCACTGTGGCCTAAAGCCAGAGATCCAGATGGCTATGAGGACTTGTAAGGGACCCACTGCCACAAATGTCAGAGTACACATCAGGCCTCTGCCCTCCACAGTGGCCCAGCAGTGGCACTGTACTCTGCGAGGCTGGGGCCACACAGGCAGGTTCTGGTTTTCGTTTCCCAGGGACTCCCTGTACATGCTGGGGCTGAGCCTATGCCCGTGATCCTGGCTGGCTGAGGCTGGGGGTGGATCATGGCATGCAGATGCTGTAACAGTGGGGTGCCTCTTTCTCTCTTTTTGGAAGAAATAAATACATGACCTTTTTTTTCCCCTTATTTTTTTTACCTTTTGCCATAGGGCACATGCACTTGCTGGAGAGAGATGAGAGAAAAAGTGAGAAATCACCACCTAGAGGGGAGGGCCATGCTGTG